AGTCAGCCCCGGTCAGTTTCAGTGGCAGCAGCTGAATCTGGAGCCAGTTCCGACTTACATACAAATTCAACTTAAGAACAAACCTATAGTCCCTATCTTGTACGTAACCCGGGGACTGCCTGTATTTATTTTTGTCTAGTTGCTCATTATATAGAGAAATATTTAGTTCCACATACAAGAAAATTTAATCACATTTAATTTTCTCTCCCGGTCAAATTTTGTACATATTAGAAAGGAAACAACACTATACTTAATACTGCAACACTTTCCATAACACACCTGTATTTTAGCATTTCTAGCGCTGACTTAGAAAATTGGCTTGGACTGAAAAGTGCCAAGTCTACTCTGAGAAATGGAAATGAAAATTAAATCTCATGGTGTTTGTTGAAAGACTGTGTGGGGAATCATTTGGAGAACACCAGAATGATGACTGGTTGAGAGAGAATGTATAACACCAAAAGAGGAACAACTCTCGTAAAAGGGAAATATTTAAACAAATAAAATGCATGCTTCGGGAAAATATTTTGGCCTCAAAGCCTTGAACCTTATTTTAATAGTTTTCAAGTTTACAGTTACACTTATAATATGATCACCAAGTAAGATTATGTGCAATCTGATCTTCCACTTAAACTAAATATGTAGTTGGAAAAAAATGCCCTTGTCTTTGTTTAGAGAAGAGAATGCAAGACTAGAAACTAAGAGTGCTTATGCTTTGGCAGCCCTCTTACGAGATGAGGTACCAGTATCCAGAGGGGAAAAGAGAGAATTCTTAAGAAAATCCATCACATACTGGAGAAGGGAAAAGTAGGAACAAGTGGGACTGATGGGGGAATGGACATGGGCCAAAGTGAAAGGCCAACATAAGAGAGGCAGAACCTTACTGAGATAATTTAGGATTTCAGGTTTATGTGGAAAACAATGAAACCAACAGGGTTACCTCACCCCATTCCAGGGTGCTCTGACAATTACCTACTTCCTGAAAGAACAGACCTGCCTTATTAGTGGGTAGGTGGAAAGACAGGAAGCGGGCCCCACGGAATGACAACTGTCCCTATTCATTTATTGTATTTTGGTAACTGTGGAACAGCCTAACAGTATTTGCTCCTTTTTCTAAGAAAGGCAGGGCAAGATTAACTTTTCAGTGTGGCTGGGGCTAGTAAATTTTGTAGGCTCTGTGGTGCGTCAAAAACAAAGGGTTCAGTGCAAGAGCTGGATAGGGGTGGTGCTGTAGGGTCTGGTCATGAAGTAGCAAGGGACTGGAGCACTTACCTGGAACAGCTCCGGAAAGGGGAAGGGGAAACAGGTGGATCCACATGGCCCTGCACTTGAAGGCACCTCCCCTTGCTGCTCCTATTGTCTGTGATTCCTGGCCAATAGGAGTGAGGGGGTGGAACCTACAGGTAAGTGCTGTTAGCGGTGATACATGTGGCTCCAGCCTGGTGGAGGTAGGGAGAAGAGCAGAGCATAAAACTGACTCCTCCTCCCACGCAGCAGGTAGAACCTCAGCAATTAGGAGCCTTTCGGATTCAGCCCCTAAAGTCCCTTGCATAATCTGGCCCGGTTTGAAAAATTCCTATGTCGTTTTCCATTGAAACGAAAAAGGAAAGGACTGTGCAGAAAAGTTATTTTGCAAGCAAATTCCTCTAAGTAACCAGTCAATTCTGTGCATGATAGAAACGTGTATAAAAGGGTGCATAAAAGGAATCAAATTCTAGACTATCTTTTTAAAAATCTATGCACATTCCTATATTGTTAGGTTTATATATGGTAACATGCAGCACACAGTGGGTTTCCAATGCAGCATCGAGGATCTGAGGCTTCACAAAATAGCATGCAATATCGAAAAAAGAATGTGAACATGGTATCTAGAGTAAATGTCATAATGTAGTTTGTACCTCTATGGCCCAGTGTGGAGGCACCTGACAACTGTAGAAAATCTTCAGTCGTTCAGATACTAATGTTTTCTTGTCTTCAAACTGATCTGCAAGTGCCTATAAGTACAAAGCATAGTCATTTATTATTTATTTAGATTTAAGTACAAAAATGTGCCTGAGATGCTAGGTTCCTTATATAAGCTAGAAGATGCCAGCTGTAAGAGTACTGGGTATTCAAGTGTAACTTATCAGATGCTTTAATGAGATGCAAATGGACACTTTTTATTAAGATGGACTATTCGTATATACAAAACAATTTATCTAATTTAAACCCTCCGCTGCACACTAAAACAAACTGTGACAGGGTCAGATGAGAAGGCTATAAAAAAAAAGGAGGGAAAGGGAGACATAGTTCCTAAGGTAACAGGGAGGGGCTGGTTTAGCACCAACAGAGGCAATCGGGGCAGTGGGACATCTGGGGCTGGTTGACCAGGCCTGCAGAATCAGGCCAGCCTAAGCTAATTAGGATACCTGGGGTAATTAAGAAAACCAGTTCAGACTGGCTATAAAAGAAGTTTGCTTGAGGTTGGTGCATGTGCAAGTAGCTAAGAGGACAGAGGAAAGCATTGCTTGGAGTAGGAGGAAAGGAGACAACAAGATAAAGAAGATAACCAACCATGGTCTACACTGTAAACTGTATTCTGACATTATTTAGAAGTGCTGGTTTCTGTACACATTCCAGTAAAGCAAAAGTTAAAAGTAAAACTGAACACTTCCTCAGGCGTGTGTTATTCATTTTATAAGAGCTGTGTGGGAACTGGAATTTCTATTTTGTGGGAAATTCTGTGATTTTTGAGGATTGGTTTTGCTCTGAATTGAAACAAAACCAAAATAATTCCAAAATGTTTTGGAAAAGATTAGTTGTGTGTTAAGTGCTCTACTTCACTAAAATCTAAACATTTTGTTTTGATTTAGGCTTTTTTATTTTATATATTACAATTTATAATAGTGTAAATTCAAAATTCAATTCATATTAAGTAATTTTCAAACAACACCAAAGAATTCCTTTCCAACTTTATCAAAATGCTTTTTTTATTGCAATTTCATTGAAATTGACATGGGTGCCTGAAGAAAGCAACGATTTTGAAGTAATGACATTTCTGGAAGCAAAAGGATTCATCAGAAAAGTCCCAATCAACTCAACCTTCTACAGTGGCTGCTTGGAAATAACTTAATGTAAATAAAAAGCTGCATTACAATATGGGTCTTTTTATTTAAAAAAAAAAAAAAAAAAAAAAAAGATTCCCTGCCCCCAAAAGTAATGACTGTATTCTGTCCACTTTTTCAAATACGCATGGAAGTATCTGAATATTAAAAGCTCTTTATATGAAAAATAGAACAGACCACAGCAGTTCTTATAATTCATAGATTTAAGTGTTCCCATGTGCGTTCTAAGAACAGGGGGTTGCTATTGTTGCTCACTTGGAGAATTCTGAGCTATATCTTTCTAAATGATGTTTAAAAATTAAAAGGTGGCTAGCATGTGCAGAGGGAGAATCCTATCCTTACTGTGTAGCTGAAAACTCACCATCCAACTGTAAATTAATAAAAACTTACAAAAAGTCATCAAAACTAAATGAGGATCTCTCGCTCACAACTTGTCCCTCCTGTTCTCCCACTCCCTTCATAATCACTGCCTTCAGGAAAAGCCTGTGTAAACAGAAAGGTTCTGTACCATACTTCCTCTTGACAATTTGCTGACTAACATCAAGCTGGACAGCTAACTGGGAATCTGGGTACAGTGGACTAGCTTCCATTTCAAAATCTCTTTCTAGATTAATCCTGTTCCAGAACTGGTATGTGATGGACCATTCAGTCTGTGCAGACTGTGTGAATGGACATCAAGGGTTCATGTATTTCAGTGTATCTTTTCCAATTTTTCAAAATATATGTACAGTCAAACTATGAATACATAATATTATCTCACACAAAAATTACAATTTTATAACTATTCTTTAAAGCAGGGGTGGGGAACCTAAGGCCCGGAAGCTGCATCCAGCCAAAGGCTAGCATTGGGGAGGCCCCACTGGTGCTCCAGCCCCATTGTCCCACCCCTGCAAGTGCCCCACAGGTCTGGAGTACAAGCGCTGGCTTCCCCTGGAGGCGGGGAGGGCGGGAGCCCCGAGCCTTGCAGGCTGGAGTCAGGTAAGCCAAAGCCAGATCTGACCCACAGGCTCTGCCTGGGGGAGGGAAGAAGCGGCACCATACGCTGCCGCTCCCCTTACACTGACTGTCCCCCACAAAAACTCTGGTGTGCAAGGGGAATGTGGGGGAGGATCCTTCTGCTTCTCAGTTGTGAGGTTTTTGTTTTTTGCTTCTTCCATGTGGCCTTGACTGATTTATTTGTGGGTCAGTGGCTTCTGACCCCAAAAAGGTTGCCCACCCTGAAACAGAGGTGGTGTGACATCAAAACAACAAAACAAAGTGTGATGCTTTCTAGAGTGCTTAAGTATTTTAGCAATAAGCTCCGTAAAAGTGCCTTGGTAGGTCATATTCAATATTGGAATAAAGAAATTCAGAAATAAAGCATTTAACTCGTAACTCATTAAATGGGTTACCACCAAAATCTCCCAAGACAAGACCATACCACATCATCACTTATATTTATTTTGGTAACTCCCATAACTAACTTTGAACACTTTTACAATAATTGAGGTTTTGTCTACATTTATAGGTAGCCATGGCACCAGCCAGGCGAGTAGTTAACAGTGCTGGGAGCCTGTTCACACTGGTGCTTCACAGCGCTGTAACTTTGCTGTCCTTGGGAGGTGGTGTTTGTTCACACCCCAAGTGAGAAAATTACAGTGCAGTAAAGTGGCAGTATAGACAAGCCCTAAGAAACAGCGGTCACTATTCAAAATTTATTTTACAATTTAAGATTGCTATGGTCACTTGCTGTTATTGTCAATGACAGACTGCCCATATAATCTAATCTACCAATAAAATTAAAAGTGTCAGTTACACCCTATAAACCCTAACAAGCCAGCCCACCCGTCAAGATCAGTAATTTTCACCAATGCCTGTTTGCCTTGATTGTAGAACCTCCTATGTTGATCAAAAGCTATTTAATACTTGTTTGAATATGGAGCCTGGACTGTAAATATAAATTTGATGCTACTCAAAGCCTCCCCTCTGCCACCGGAAAACCACCTTTCATATATAAAAAATGTTTTGTAAGAATAACATCAAAATGTTCCCCAAAAGTTTTTCCCTGTCAGGAGTTCACACTTCACAGAATTCATATGGAAATGATTTTTGGAAGAAAATTAGAAGTAGGTAACAAAAAGTTGGGCTTGTAATGGACAATATCACATTCCCTCAAATTGTCAGTATTCATGCCCATACGCCCCATCATGTTGTATGTATGTTGTATATGTGTATGTATGATTAATACTACACTACTATTAGTTTAGAAGATTCTTTTACACAAATTCTATTTATAGTCCAGACCCCACATGTAAACAATTATTACATCAGCTCTGTCCTACAGTTAAGACAAACAGGTATAAGAGAAAGTTACTGATATAGCAACTAGAGCTTCTTAGAGGTGAGTGGTCCCTATCTGTATTCTACTGCATGCACTCAAGAGTTGAAAAATTCTTTCAAGTAGTATCCCTGTTGCTGTGCACATATGCCCTTGCATTTCCAACTGAGGACATAAAAGGTGGGACAGACTGCCTCTCCAATACCTTTTCTACCATGAATCTAATTATGACCCAAAACAAAAGAAAAGGTGGACAGGTATTGGAATAGAGATAGTGACCACACATACTGAAGAACTCAAGTTACAGTATGGTAAAAAAAAAAACCCCTTACCTTTCTTGTGCTAATATCTATGGGTATGGCTACATAGAAATAAAGCCCTACAACTGACCCAGGTCAATTGGCTCAGGCCCTTGGGGCTCTAGCTTCAAAATTGAAAAGCTGCTGCCCAAATGTTTGGGTTTTGGTCCTGCACCTGCACTAGATATCAGAAGTTGGGCCCTAGCTTGAATGTCTACACACCAACTTCACAACCTGAAGCCCAAACCTGAGTCATCTAACTTGAGCCAACTGCAGCTGTACTGTGAGACTTCTACCTCTGCTTTTAGAATAGCCTCTGCATAAGAATGACTGACAAGCAGTCATAAAAGAAGAGGAGGGTGTATGGATGCAGGTGGTACAGTTGCTTGTAAAACCACTCCCCCAAAGGATGCATCGTTGGCTGAGTTCTGTACTACAACAGAATCTCATGAACACATGTATGGAACATCACAAAGTTGTCCTGCAAATGTTAAATAGACATGCATCCTGAAGCAATGCCACTGAGGCTATTTGTGCTCTTGTAGATTAGAGCAGGAAACAACTAGAGATCCATTTAGAGGTCCTCTGGGAGAATTCAACTTGACCTGGAATTCCTTTTACTATAGTGAGAAATACTAGGAAATCTTCTGATTTTTTTTTAGTCAATGTAGGAAAAAGGCTTTAGTGCATCTTACATAAAAGGAATGAGGATTGGTCTCCTCTTCAAGTGCAGAGATATGGGCAAATACATAGGTAAATTGATAATCGGTTTATGTGATACTTCACAACTGCCATGGGGGTGAATTGCAAATGTGGTAAAAGAGAACTGGTCCTTATGGAAATTTAGGCTATGTTGGCTCTACCATTACGGCTCTGAGCTAATGGCTACATGTCCTCTCCTGACAAATCTTCCGTAAGACCTGAAACAGGAGCAATAAGGGAGAAAGGCATAGCTCAAATCATCTGATGGGAAAAGTATCTGAGAGTATAGATCTAGAGCTTCTGCTTATGATTGATGATTAAATTCCTACTGAGGGGATCCGCCAACACATTCTAAGTTTCCAAGAGGAAGGTGCTGACAGTGATGAGATCCCTGATACACCAGTTCCATAAAGTGACAACTTCTAAAAATAATGCAATAGTTTCCAGCCATCCCAGTTTGTTGATATAAAAGATGATCATCACATTCTCTGATACTGAGGACATAGTGGGACTGGTTAAATTGCAGAACAACTTGCAAGTTTATCAGAGTGCCCCAAATTCCAAAAGGTGGA